TCACTCTTTTTAAAGCCGTCAGAACCACGCCCCTGACCACCATTATTAATCCATTCACTACTGCACAGTCCTACAATCCAATCACCTCTTCAAGGCCCCACCTTTCAATTACCATAATAGGATTTCCCACCCTCTTAACAGTCAAAGTGGAGGTCAAGTTTCTAATACATAAAACTTGGGGGACACAATTCAAGCTTCAGGGAGTTTGGGGGGGGGGAAATAATTCAATCCACTACAAGGTCTGGGAGATAGAAAGGGGCCAACCCATACTGAGACTTGTAGGTCACAGTAGAGATTTTTATTTTTGCTTTTTCATTTCAAGAGGAATGAAGAAACATGTTAGGGCTTCAGGCAGGAAAGGGTACAATGGCCAACATTAATAAGAACCCTTTGGTTCCAATTGATAAAAACTGTCATAGGTTGGCTAAAATAGAGAGGGAAATGTATTGCCTTGGAGGAAATTAAGAAATAGCACGAGGGAGCTATAGGAAGTCTATGGCCTGACCAAAGAGAGCGGCCAGTGCAGGTCAGCCTGGGGAGATTCCTGGCAGCACCCCACCTTCGTGTGACAGGAGGTGTCCCCAGCCTGCAGGAGGCCTCCAAAGGGTGTCCTGGAGCTTCTCCTTGAGGAACCCACTGCATTCGGAAGACAAGGAAAAGGCCCATTTCCAGAGACTTCACCAGTGACAACCCCCCACCACCCCACCCCCACCCCAGGCCTTTAGCTGCACAGCCCGGGCCAATTAGCAGGCAAAGAAGGAGGGAGCCGAGCTCAGAAAAACAACGGTCTATAATTAGGCGGCCTAATCACCTGTGTAAATTGTGTATTTCTTATGATCGATGTGCTAAACGGCTCAGGTTTAATTAAGTTCTGCTGACTTGTTCTCTTTGAAGACCCACTGAAGTGTAATTCACAACTTGCACAATTAATAACAGGGAGAGGAGCAACTTGAAAAGGGTGGCACTTCCCTGCCACCTCCATCCCCCTCTCCCCACCGCCTGCATGTGCCCACTCCCAGGGTGCCCTTGGCTGGCCACACTGGGTGGGCTGGGCTGTGACCACCTGCTTCTTGGCTTCTCTGCCAAGAACTTGCTAGGGAGATGCTGGGCCTGGAGGGAACTCAAGGATTTTCTCACTCCCAATCCAATGCTCCTTCTAGAATGATCCATCCTGCCTCAGAAAATGGGGCCTGATGTACCCATTGTCCTCTCTGGGCAGGGGCTCGGAATATCCCGGCCCTTCCTGGTGACTGACAATCCCATCCTGTGCACGGGCGTGCCCATCGATAAGCTCGTGTTTCCAGCCTCTTGTCTAATGAGGTTCCTTCTGCCACCTTCTCTGCTCCACACCCCACTTGCGTTGTTCTGCTTCTCGCTCTCATAACCGGCTGTGGCCTGTAACCCCAAGCTTCAGCCTTCCTGGCCCCCTCGCCGCCTCCTCCTGCATATGGTGGGAAAGCTGAAGGGTTGACCTTCATCCTTCCTGAGCCATCCCCTCAGACACTTCTCTTCCCTACCCCACCCTGCCCTGTGACCCACGGTCAGGTTGACTCTGCTCTGAGTCACCACCTAAGCTCCTGGGCACCTCCACAGGACATCCTCCATCTCCCAGGCTTCAGCAGTAAGATGAGTGTAGGGCAGCCCGGCCTTCCTCTTGCCTTCCTTACGCTTCCAGTTTCCCCCAAGGCCATCAAAGTCGGTGCTATATCTGTCAGATACTTTTGTTCCTAGAGACTTCTGAAAATTAGAGGAAATTGCAATGCAGGGAGAAACTTTAAGTTAGAAACAGAATATGCTTTATTTTGTTTAATTTATTTTTTTTTAATTTTGTTTAATTTAAATAACCACATGTAGTCAGACAGTGCAGCTCTAAAGAGTTAAACCTTTCAAAAGGTACAGCTCAGATCTTAACCTCGTTTCCCTGACTCCAGGTTCAAGTCTATTTGTCTCTCCCAAAATTGCTCTCAGCCTTCTGGTTGGGTGTCTCCAGTCATAAGTCAGGGATCCTCAACCACTGGGAATGACCTCGGCTCTGAGATCCTTCTTATTCAGTCTGGAATAACATCCCGAGAAAGGCTGTATGAGGACAGTGCTGACCGTTGACATCCCAAGAACCTACAGTCAATCTGGGGTGAGGGGTTTTGGCAATCTGAGTCCCACAGGCTAGTCCATTTGGAGCTCAGCCTCCATTTCCCATCAGTGTGAATTTTAGGCAGCCCTGTTTATTCTTGGAGAAGTCACTAGAGCTGTTAGACACACACACCAAGCACCATCATCATCACCATCTCTCAAGGACAAACACTTATCCTGAGAACGTATAGTTCATAGCTAATGAGAAAAAACATTTTTCTAAGCAGACTATAATTTTCCAGGCAGCCCCCTCTCCATGAAGTCAGCCGTCAAGTTATTATGCAGAATGGGCTTTAGATCTTTTGCTTCTGCACCCTACCTCCAAATTATGTTCTTCCAGTCCTGCTCAGAATAGGGAAAAGCTATATATACCTTAATAGCTGTCCCCTTAGTTACACAAGTGGAAGCTTTGAAATAATTATTTTATTAAGAAGTCTATTCTTAGTTATAAATCCTTCTTTTCCTGAGTTTCCTTCTGAAGGAAATGGAGGAGTGGCTTGTTTTTGTTATAATCTACCTTCTATTCCTAAACCTCTATTCTCCAGGTAATTTTGTGTCCTGTATCCTGGTTCTATACCCTACATTCACTCCACAGTTCCATATTCTCAGGAAAACCTCAACTCTATGCTGTTTGCCCAGCCAACCTGGAATCTTCCCTTCTGTCATTTTTTTTGCAACTTCCTATAGAACCACACTAAACCATTTACTATCATCTGAAATGCAGACCAAATGATGAATGAATGGGTTAATGCGATACTATCAAGCATGGCTTATTCATCTCGTACTCCTGCAGACAGGTCCTCGTTGCCTGTTAAATGCTAGGTGCACAAAAGACATTCACTAAATTATTGGCAATGGATTAACACTGCCTTTTATCTCTACATCAATCTGATTGGCTTCAGCTCTATCTCTTAAACACACCACCAGCTCTAATCATAGAATAAATATCTCTTTAAAAACAAAAAAGATTTAAAAAGCAGTGTGACTTGGGGAGGAGGAGGGGGTAGAGACAGAAATCAGACTCCTACCAAAGGTGGTTCACAAGCCAATAGCTTACTCTAGTGGGCAAGAATGTTTAAAACCTCGCTGTCCTACTCCAAGAAGCTTCCAACAGTCAGCAAACGTGAGCAAAAGAACTTTGAAGGTATAAAAAAGGATTAACAACCAATGTGAAGTGTGGTAGGGAGGAGCAAGACTGAAAGCAAACCATGAATGCTCATTTCTGCAACAGAGGCAGCTGGGCCTGGTGGATTCCAGTAGAGGAAATCTCAGGCAAGCCCGAGGCAAGGTCTTTTACACCATTCAGCCTCCACCTGAAATGAAAGAGGATTGTAGACTATCAGGGTGGATTTGGCCTTGGTGACTTGATCATTCAACCCCTCTTTTTCCCCCATTCTACAGATGGGGAGACTGAGGCCCAGAGGGTGAATAAAATGTGGCCCAAGTTGTAAAGTGGATCCAGGAACAGAGCTCAGGTCTTCTGACGTCCAGCTCAGTGGGTTTTCTACCGTCCAATGATAGCAGGATCGATAATAAGTTCACACACATAGTTAATCTCTTTAGTCATTAAACGATCACAAATGCAATCCGTTTTTCATTGAGTGTCTACTCCAATTCATAGTTTGTGGTGGTTTTACCTCTCTTATTTAGGAAAAAAGAAACTGGGCTGGGAGTTAGGAGACCTCAGGTGGAGCTCAGATTCCACTATCCTATCTGACATGTGACATCTGACATTGTACAAAATTTCTGACAAATCATGTAAAAGTGAATAGAGAGCCTCAATTTCACATTTACTCATTTAGAGCAAATATTTATTAAGCTCCCACTAGGTGCCAGTTACTCAGCCAGTCTAAGACACAGTCTCTGTCCTCCAGGAGTTCACAGTGTAGACGGAGGACAGCAGGCAAGCATGGGTCCCCTTGCCTTGAAGGCTTTGAGTCCTTGGAGCAAGTGTGAGTGTCCCTGGGACAAGAGATATCTAGGTTCTCCATCATTTTCTGAGACTAGATTTTTCTTATAGGAATGAGGAAGAAATTAGGAGAGGCATGGTAGTCAACTAGAATGGTGGGAATTCCATTTTCCCCAAAAGCAAAGGTGGTTTGGGGAGGGGGTTTGTGTCTATTCGACAACTCCTGCCATCACGTCATGTAGACTGTCTGTTCCAAGTGAGACTAGAATTGCAACCCTGTCCTCAGAAGTCCATGGTCAAGAGAACAAACCTACCAGCTTTGAACAAACCTACCAGAAGTCCATGGTCAAGAGACCAAACCTACCAGCATGTGCTTTGGTCCTTCCTCCAACGTCCACTGTCACTTGGCTCCATCCAGGAGCTGAGGGCAATGCTGGTTGATTCTTCTAATAAAACTTTACTGAGGGCCGGCCCGTGGCTCCCTTGGGAGAGTGTGGTGCTGACAACACCAAGGCCACGGGTTCGGTTCCTATGTAGGGATGGCCGGACAGCTCACTTAGGAGAGCGTGGTGCTGACAACACCAAGACAAGGGTTAAGGTCCCCTTACCAGTCACCTTTTTTAAAAAAAAAAAACTTTACTTAAAAACAGAAACTAGTTTGCTGTTGCCTGTTGTAGATGAAGGGGAGTGGCTGAAGGCATCTGAGCAGCAGAAAGGCACAATCCCAGAGGATTTTTTTAAGATGCTCATTTGGCCTCACTGTCCAGGGGGAGAGGAAGGATTAGCCTAGAGGCGGGGGTTTTAGGAAAGAGAATATTTTGAAGCTCTAAGCCAGAGGAGCCAAGGGCCAAGATTCAATACTGGCAGCAGGGGTTGAAAAGATAGAACAAGGCAACACAAAAGCCTCACTGAGGTGCTGACACCAGGGCCACTGGCCCAACTTGGACCCTCTTCCATGCAGAAGAGAGAAAGAGCAAGCGGAGGGTTCGAACCACCTTCACCACAGAGCAGCTGCACGAGCTGGAGAAGATCTTCCACTTTACCCACTACCCAGATGTCCACATTCGCAGCCAGCTGGCAGCCAGGATCAACCTCCCAGAAGCTCGGGTGCAGGTACAGCTGTCCCTGCCCTCATCCCTCAGCCTCGATGCACTGGGGACCAGGGGGAGGCACAATGCATCCTGGGCCCCTCTTGGCTGCCCCATCTGAAACTTTCCATTGGCTTTATCCCATGAGCACAGTTGTATTGGCCAAATATATTTTCCAGGAAACGAGGTCACCTTAGTTGCAAGATGGTTTCTCTCCTTTAAGTGGGAAAATGGAGCTCCATTGGGGATCGCCATTGATCTCTGCTTCTGTGCCCTTACTCCCCGCTTGGTCACGTTCCAGAACATCATTCACCATGCAGCCTCATTCACAAAATAGGTCCTTGGCAATCTAGACCAGGGGTCAACATACTTTTTCTGTAAAGGGGCAGATGGTAGCAACTTTAGGCTTTGAGGGGTACACGGTCACTGTCACAGAAACCATTCAGTGCTGCCATGGTAACACAAGAGCAGCCACAGACAATATGTAAACAAACGAGCATGGTGGTGTCCCAATAAAACTTTAACTATGAACACGGCAAGTCGAATTTTGTATAATCTGCCAGAGTCACAAAATATTATTCTTTTTTTTTTTATTTTTTTCCCCAATCATTTAAAAATGTGAAAACCACTTTTAGCTCATGGCCCATTCAAAAGTAGGTGGAAGGTCAAATTTAGCCTGCAGATTTAACTCCCCCACATTTGCCAACCCTGATCTAGACCACATGGGTATCACTTTGGAGGAAGCACAGAGAAGTAGAAGGAAGCCTGGATCCATGGTGAGAGACCTGGTTTAAACACCAACGGCCTAATCAATCATCTGTAATCTCTTCACCCCAGACTGTCTATTGCTTCATCTATGGTTAGAAATACAGTAGCTCCTGGTCACTCACCAGGGGTACATCCTGTGCTGTCCACACATCCCCAATTTTGTAAGTAGCACTCAAGCACATGAAGTTCCACCAAATCTAATTGTGGCCCTGTTGGCACTCTCTCTAAAACAACCATTCTTTTATTTTTTATATATATGTTTTAAACAAACCCATGGACTTATTCTAATTCAAAATCTGAACCAGGGCCCAGGTCAGCATTGCTCTTTATTTTATTCCAACCTTTTTTTCTTTGGCAAAAGGCCACCCATCCTAGACTTCTCCCTTTTTTCTTCCCATTTGGAATATGGCACCAGCTAAGTGTGTAGCACCTGCATCTGCTGTAAAGCCCAGAATTCAGCAGCTCCTCAGCAGAATTACCAAGCACAGATGGCCGCTTGTCAGGGACCATCGGGGCACTCATAAATACACGGAGCTGCCAGTGTTCAACCTGTAGATGCCAAGGGGCTCTCAGGGATTGCAAACTGGTGTTCTGCTGGTGAGTAACAGCCCACAAATGGGTTTTATTTGGTCTGCACAGTACTTTAAAACTCAGAAGCTTTCATATAAAAATCAGGATTTCCACCTTGGAAACTGGATAAACCTGCAACACTGTACTCACATTTCCACATGGTGGCTGTTGTCAAGAGCTGAGAAGCTGCCCTGTTAGACTCTGTTCACCACCAACCTCCCCCCACACACCCCCCACAATCCCCCG